AAGTCTTTAAAACTGTTGTGGAAGATCTCTACAGCAAGTTGTCTTACCTTTTTAATTAAATGAAAAAACAAAGTCACATGGCAGAATTTCGAAAAAAATACAAGAGCTCGAAGAGAAAATATTGAAAAGTAAACATTAAAACATAATAATAATCTCGATGGTACAGTATATGGAAACCTTATTCGAGGGACGAAAATTTTTTCTTCGAAGATGAAACACGGCTGCAGGCAGAGCAGTAGTGAAGCATACTAACGATATAAAAAAAAAGACAGACATAACTATGATAGATGATGACCTCATTATAGATAAGAAGCAAGCTTGATAGTTTTCAACTGATAGGACCTCATTTGTTTTCGTTGAATTTACTCATCGCATTTCTGATTTGGGATCAAATCTGGAAATTTCTTTTCAAAACTCATCGGCTACTGTTAATTCCATTCTGTCAGGGTTCTATTCTTGGGCCAATAAAAAAAAAATCTTCAACGCACTGTTCAGTCATTCCTATTGTTTCGGTTGGTTCATTGCCAATATCTGCGTTGTCTTGAGACTTCTGTGATTTTATCGATTGTCGTTTACAACAACTAAAAAAAAATACAATGAATAATAATCAGAATGAGAACAATTCAAAAACTCACTTGATAAGCCATCTAACGACAGACAAAATAGAGTTTCTTATGCAAGAACTCGTCAATAAACAGACGATTATGATAATCGGAATAGCAATCAAAATCTGTATGCCTTTGCTTGAATCTAAAACAGACCGATCAATACAAAATTCGAATCTTGAATGAAGTTAAAACGTCGCTTACATTTGTCGCAAAATTCACCGTCATAGAAAAGCGAGCATATACATTTGAAGCCTGTTAGATCGTTAAGACACTGTGCATGCTTGCCACACAAGACATTACCAAGACAAATATTGAGTGCTAGATTGAATAAAAAAAAAATAGAATCGTTTAAATTTGTTCAATTTGAAACAAGTGGTTACCTACCATGTTGACATAGATATGAGTAGGCCATTGTAGGTACAATATTGTTTAGTGAACAGATAGTTTTGCCCGAATTCAAGTAAGTACTAAGTTCGAAGATGTTTGACTCATTGCCGACGACGTTCAACTGTACTTCATGACAAATACTAAGAACTTGATCAATATTTTCCAAGCTAACATCATCTTCTTGACCATTATTCAATTCTTTTCTAGCTCGATTCGTAGATTGTTCTTTCATCTGGTCATCAACAATACCTTTCATTCGATTGTCATCATCAGGTACACCTTCATTTAGCGAGTACTCAGATAATGAAGTTTTCGATGTTCTATATTGAACAAGAGCTTGACGAATCTTTTTCTCGGTGTTTTGCCATCGAACGTAATCATCATTTGATAGCATCTGAGTAATCTGTGCACCTAATAGCAAACATAGTTGTGTAAGATTATAATAGTGTACGATACAAAAGTGATGGAAGAAATGTCGAATCCTGTTTCTCTTCGATTGAAAGCTATTGAAAAAAAATGTTTTATCAAAATATAGAACTTTGTCCTCTTTTTCAAATTTTATATAATTTATTTATGTCACACGTTTATTAATGAAACGACGCAACAAAAAAGAGTAACATTTTTGACGGTCCCTTTATAGGAAAATGCGGAATCTTTTTATGGGCGCATACTATTTCTTAGTAAAAGAGCTTTCATTTTAGTAGCTTTCTATTGACGAATAATGGGATCCGACATTTGTCCCATTACTTTTGCATCATACGTGAAAAACGATTTTCCAAAAGTATTGATCAATAATTCTGCTTTATTAAGCATGATCAGACCTACCTTGAAGTAAGTGTGGATCGATTTCAATCATTAATGTTTCAAGACGATTGGCCTTGAGTATATGCACAGCATAGAAAAGTTCCGTAGGATGTCGAATGAGCATCAGTCGCGCATTTAAATGAAGACGACTACATGTATGATTGGCATCTACAAACGTTGACGTCACATTGGACAGATAGTAACACGAATGACTGAATCTTTGCCAGTTTCTCGGACATTGAAATTGATTAACTAAAATATATGAATATCGTTCTTGATTATCGTATTGAATAAATAAATAAATAAATAAATGACTCAACAAATGAATTAGTATGCATAATGTTCTCTTTTTCAAACAAATGATGTGTTTTATAAGTAGACGAAATAATAGAAAAAAAACCCATAAGCATTATTCCTAATAAATTAAAATGTGAAACACAATTGAACAGTATTTCGAAATTTCCGACCTTTGGTATGCGGGTAAATGTCACTTTTCGTGATGCATAGAATTCAACAAGCATATTTCATCAAAAGAAATTGGATGTTAATGAATTACGTATTTGATATGTTACTTCTTCTTATCTGAAGAATCGATGTATTTCATATCGAATTATTCTCGCCTCTCGTCTGTTACGACTTGAAAATTTGTCATTAGAATACTTACCAGCACCTTCACTTTTGTTAACAATCGAGAAAAATTTCTTGAATTGCGACCATTGATCAGTAGGATTGACATTTTGCTGAGTATTCGATGGAACACACCAAGATCGTTTTACATTGAAAACAACGAACAAAATAAGTGGCAGAACAACAAAAAAAGACGGTCGAATCATATTGATTCAATAATAGAACCCAGTTATGACTATTGTTTAGTCAATAATTGAAGATAAATGATCGACACACCTGAAAGAAATCAATCGACATTATTCAAAAATAACTGCCAGTATGCTGTGATAATGACTCTTCAAAAACAATGTCGCTACTAATATGTAGGAAACAAAGAAATAAAAAAATGAAGAATAGTCAAGAAAGATATGTTTCAGTCTGTTTTTAGATGTCATCTGACGCTATGGTTATCGATTGACAATAGATCAGTAGACAGCGATTATGAAACGGTTCTTGCCAATAAAAAAACTCGATGCTACACAATCATAGAGAAGCAATGTAAATGAATCTTGACAGTATTGGTTCTTATAGAAAGAGGCTCCGCAGCAGGAAGGTGTTCGAAAGATTCATCACTTCCTCCAAGAAAAATTCCCTGTGAAGAACGTGAAAAATAATTTTTTCTAAACAAAAAGTTTTCTTCACCACTATTGATTTAATCCCATAAGAAAAAGATTGCAGACCATGAGCCGGCTTATTAGAGATGCAACGATATAAAAAAAATACGCATTAAAAAGAAGCTGAAAAATGAGTATTTCACGACGCCGTTGACATTTTTTTGTTCTGCATTTTTTTGTCCGCATGCGTTATTTTAAGGATAAACAAATATCGATGCTTGTTGCACTGCATTGTGCAAGCAAAGAAAAGCAAAAAAAAGGGCAAAATCCTATTTTCGATTCTTTTATCGTTTTTTTTATTGACTCCTATGAGTAGAATAGACATCCCTTGTTTCTTTTGTATGAAATTGATTTTCAATTGGTAGTTGTTTTATTTGAGTTTATTTAAAGTGAAACTATATAATAGAACTTTTATTTCTATCTAATTGTATGCTCAATAGAATCATAATTAAAACGCAGTTATATTATCGATATGTGCTGTTGGCTCATAATACTTCTGTGTATAAGCTAATTAACTTTCCAGAAAACATGGAACAGAAGACATACTGGCACGATGATTTCAAGAAAAGAATATTAGACAATATTTTCCTAAACGCAAAATGAAAGTTTAATATCAAATATGAGAAACTTCTTTCTTGATCCATCAAACCATGTTTCTTTTGGGTCTGAAGTATGAGTATGCATTTGAAATGTGTCTGTCTGTGTGAATAGGACTATGGAGTTTGAATCGGTTGAACATCCACGCACGTACGGGTGCGGATGTGGGTTAAGTTAATTCACTGTATTGCGCACATCAACGCTAACACCTACACTCACACCCACCCACCCACGCTTAGATTCACACCACACCTACACTCTGATCATTCATTTACTAATATCGGCGCCAGAAGTCAGCGCACTCGGATGTTTTTTGAATAACTTATGATAGGAACAAGTTAGAGATCTGCGAATTTCATCAATCGAAAGAGGAGACATGGGGTCGTCTTTTTCTCCGAAAATGTATAAGACAAAACCTTTTTAAAACCAATCATCTCCGGGAAACATTCGAAAAAATGCATGAAACTGGTCTGCCGTTCTGATGAAATTTTGATTTTGACATATGATTTGGATGGAGGAACTTCAGATCTCTAGTTGAAGACACAATGCGAATTGTTATCATTTCACATTCTAACGTTGAACCAATGAAATCATGTTCTGGCTTACTCAAATAATACGAAATTGTGCTGATTTTCAGCTAAATTTTTTTTCTTTTTTTCAAAATTTCATCAGAACGACAGATCAGTTTCATGCGTTTTTTCGAATGTTTTCCGGAGATGATTGATTTTAAAAAGATTTTGTCTTATACATTTTCGAAGAAAAAGACGGCCTCATGTTTCCTCTTTCGATTGTTGAAAACCACAGATTTCTAACTTGTTCCTATCGAAAGTTATTCAAAAACCATCCGAGTGCACTGACTTCTGGCGCCGATATTAGTATTTTAAATGTTCATACAAACCATGTATAAGGGGAAAACCAGCATCGAATGAATCAGATGGTTTCAAAAGAATCATTTGTCTATTACGGCATTTAGTCTTGATAAAATTATTGTGGAATAAATACTGGTTCATTAGAAAATAATTGGAAAGAATGTAGGTATATTTTGGAACGCCTTTTATTACTATCAATCAACAGAAAATGAAATGATGATTTGATCATAAGCTGTTTTTTATTCATGATCAATATTATAACTAGGAGAGACAATGAAATACATAGATCAATACAGAACATTCATTACAATATTTTAGAATAAAAAATATAAAAGAATTTTATTAATTAAAGATTGAACATCTTATGAAAAAAAAATTAGAAAAAAACTAGCGCAGCATACATTTCTTTTTCTTTATTGATTAAAATCCTATACGTGACAATAGAGAACAAAATATTAGTCATTTTTTTTAACTCGAAATACTTTTCTCAAGTTTTTGGACATCATCACCTGATGATTTTTGTTCTTTTCTTGCATTCTTAGATCTTCTAATGCACAAAGCATTATGGTATCAACCGCCATTGAATAAACTGAAAAAAAACATTTTGCAATAATATAAGTACCAATAATAATTAACAATAATGGTATAAGATAATAATTTAATTCAGGTACATAGTTTTCAGCTTGTGCTATTCGATGAGTAAAAAAGAAGAAAGCAAGAATACCAATACCAGCTGTTATACATAATTTACCAAGAAATATAAGAAAATCACATACTTTATCAATAACAAGTAAACGAATTGGGTTTGAAATAATTATTTTAAATGCTCGACGTGCTGATGTAAAAAAACCTGATCCATATATTGCTGTTATAATATAAGCATTTCGATTAAGAAATTTTAAGAATTTTTCCAAGCAAAATAAACAACAACGACAACAACAAAATAGACAACGAGCAAATTTTCCTGTTTTATCTTTAACTTTATTTTCGACGTATTCTAATAATAAACGAATTAATTTAACAATGGCTATTATTAATGAACCAAATGCAATTGTACCGAGATGAAATACAATTGCACGAAATAAAGATTGACCTAATGATAAACATGGAACACCAAATCGTTGTTTATCCCAATAATAACGTACATAGACACCAGCTAAAATTTTTATATAAATTTTATTTTTAAAAACGAATTCCATACAAAAAAAACTTACCAAGAACTAATTCACTTAAGCCAATTATGAAAGCTGTTAACCAAAAAAACATGAAAGCAGAGAATACTTGTGGAAGCCATTGATTTTTATTGACAAAACTAATAAACGATTTAAAATGTTTACCAGTACCTTAAATAGAACAACAACAAAAAAAAAAAATATTATTTTTGACAATAATAAAATTGATCATACCATTAAGAACACTATCCAAATCAACTTGTGGATCATATCCATACTCCGAAAAAATACATTCAACATTCATTCCAGCACTATTAAGGCAAATTCGAAAATTAGGTTGTCAATCACAGTCGAAATTTAAATTGAACTTGAATTCATTAGTTCAATCATTGCTTTACATTTTAATTTCTGTTTAAAACTGAGTCAATTATATAACCTACGTTTTGATTTAATAATCTTCTACCTGAATCAAGTGAATAAAACCTATTTTTGTAAAAAAAAATTATTGAGATAACAATTTTACATATGTCTAAACTTATCCGAAGAATAATTTTTATAAAGAATCAAAGTCAAATGAAAGAATGGTATGACCCATATGGTAACAGCCATTTTATTGATAGGTATTGAATTAGAATCTTTAAGTCATAATAGAAAGACTACTGAAAAAAGCTGTTAGCGTAATTTCTGTGAGACTAAGCTATGGAACACAATGTAGCTGCTATTGGTAATCATATGAAAATTGTTCTATTCGATTTAGTTTCGAACACTTTCTTCATCATCCTTCATTAAATTTTCTAGAATTACAATAAAAAACTGGTTCATATGTTCTAGTGAGATGTTAGTAACATACGATCTGTCAAAGTCATCAGTCAGTGGTACAATTTTTACCCTATATACTTCAACACTTCTTTCGGATCATATTTTTCAAAAAAGGCTATTTTACTTCGAATGTCGAAGACTATATTGGATATATAATAGTTACTAAACCAAATTTGAATAAGTTAGATTTATTTTACTCGATCTGATGACATGGTCTTTGAATAAACTTTTATTCCATTTTTGTGGATTACATATTTGACCAATTGTTAGATCTGCTGGATCTACATCTGATTGATTACCTGCTATTCGATAAATTGGTTTTCCTGCCGTTGCTAAATACATAGTGATAGCTACCCAATAAGCAAATATTCCAATATGTAATATTAATGGTATAAATGGCCAGAAAAGACTAAAAAAGTTATATGCAACAGCTTTTGATGCTTCTTGAAGAATAGCTAATGCTATTCGAAGACGTTTAAATAAAACAAGAACAACAAGAACTGCTATGAGTAAAAGAATACCGGATAAAATTCCAATAATTAACCATGTTATTGGTAAACTTCGATAATAATTAGCATCAGCAACAAATTTAAACTCTTTTATTATTTGATTATCATTGTTTGCACGAAGTTGAATAAATTCAAAAAATGCTAAACCAGTTATAACACCTAATAGAACAATAAAACCTATTATACCAAACCAAACAAGTGGTTTTGCTAACCAACGCATTAATACAATCCATAAAAACTAAAAAATTTTTCAAAATTTTTTCGTCGCTTTTTCATGTTTTTTTTTTTCTTATCCTACCGATACGACTACAGATAAACCGAAAGCCAACAATATATATTTCCATGATGTTGCTAAGTCTTCAACAAGCATGACGGCTATTTGTTTTAAATTAAGTAATTCAACAAGATATTTAACACCCTAGACAAATTCAATTGTGTTCAAAATAATCTTTTCAAGAAAAATTAACCTGTTCGAGTTTCGATCCATTTAATGGTTGTCCATTTGAATCATATACAGTAGCATTGGCTTCATTACCATCTGGTGCCTAAAACAAGATATTCTTTTATATTTATCTATCAAATATTTTGATCCTAACCTGAATTATAGAATTAGCTAAACTTTCTATTTGTTGTGGAACACATCGACCAAACAATGGTTTACTAGCTATTATATATGATGCACATTTTCCATCTCTAACTAATTCTTCATTATTATTGTCACTTTCAGTTACATCATATGTACAAATTCTATTCATATTATAATCTCCAAATTTATAATAAGATGTTTTATTTGGACATTTTTGAACACAAACTTGTTTGGTAGGACAAACAAATGGACGACCTTGTAAAATATTAGCTGGCACATTAAGTGATTTTATACATTTTGTCCAATCAAAGAAATAAGCATATGGTCGATTGGTATATTCTCCTGCACCACAAATATTACCTTCACTATCAGTTGGGTGTAATAGTTGTCTTGGATCACCTATACATTTCATAGAAACACTCATAGAAAATTGACATAAATAAATACCTTCTTTGAAAGCAAAAACACTCAAGACAACAAAACAAATGATAAATATAAGAAACAGAAGACAACATGGAATATCTAAATACATATATCTTTTTAAGATAAATTCAACAATATTTTTTTTCTTTATTCACCAGTGCAAAATCGTTTTCGTTGAAGAGCTTGTTTTGGTAGTTCAGCTTGAGTCTCTTTGTTCGGAGAACCCGATATTCTGTTTGATGAACTTTGTCGGTATCTAATATATTAATCAAATTTTTTTTCTTCACTGATTAAAATCTATTTTTTACATCTATGTAAAACTTAAATACCTGTCTTGCGTCTTTGGATGTTTCGCCATAATAATTTTGTTTCTGTCTATTTGTTACGTGAGTATGATATCCTAAGACAACAATTTGATATGAAAAAAGAAAAGACCAAAGGTGAACTTGCATCATATCTACGAAACACACACTGTTGCTAACGATGTGTTATACTTTCGAAACTCTCTCTCATGTATTCAAGAGATTTTTTTCTGTAAAACGACGTAAAAGATAAGGAAGAAAAAAAAATCGTCTCAAAATGTCACATGAAATAAAAAAAAGATCCATTACTCATCTCGTTAAAAAACGGAAGAATGATAAGATCTCCATACTCACAATAACACGAATATATTATATGTCTAATTCTAGTTCATATTGGTATTGGTTTTAAATTTTACTGAATAACATGAATATACAACTTATAGATCATATTGAGGAATTTTTTTTAAACAATTATTCAACCAATATGCATAAAAGAGCTTATCAACAATTATTCGATTAACTTATAATAAGACTATTACATTAAGAATAGATTAAAAAAATCTCCGAAAAAGATAAGAGTTTGTTATTCCATCGATTGTGCTTGATTGATTATGCTTATTTGCTTACCTAATCTTATTTTTACTTCTTTACGCAGTGATACTTGAATTCTCACAAGCTTAATAAATTTGTTTTCATGATCGCATGATTGTAAAACAAGTTTATCAAGGAAATCTTTATTCAAGAGAAACTTGATCGTAACTAATTCACTGAATGACGCAAATAAATTGCAAAATAATTTTAAAAATTGAGTAATAAAATAAATCAGTTTTACTAGTTTGTATCAATACTGTTGCTAGAGTATACAAGGACTGATTGATCTCTTAGCAGTTACTGGGGAAAGGAGCGACAAAGTATTCGTGGATTTTATCCTTTCACTAAAGAAGTAGATGTGAACCATTTTTTAGCATGCAAGCTAATTAAGCTCATGCGGGAGCATTCCTATAGTGCACATTCGCTTTTGAGTCGAGACTATGCGTAGCTTGTAGACCTTGATAAGTTATGACTATGATAAAAAAAAGTTCGTGCCTATCACCTGTTTCTGTAGAGATCGAACCTAATTAATTTTATAGCTGGATATTCCCAAGAACTTTCAACCACGTTGTATAAAAGTCATCTCTAATTTCGATGAGACTTTCAGCGTTTGTATAGCTTTTAATTCTGACCATTATAATAGAAAAACTTTTTCGAAAAGCTTTAACAACCCTGAAGACAATTTTTTCCAGCGGTTTTTTTTTGAGTTTTTCTGATTACAGTATTTTGAGTGTATCTTCCTTAAAACAAAAGCTTTTCGAAAAACTTTTTCTATTAAAATGGACAGAATTAAAAGCTCTGCAAACGCTGAAAGTTTTGTCGAAATTAGAAATGACTTTTATACAACGTGGTTGAAAGTTCTTGGGAATACCCAGCTATAAAATTAATTACGTTCGATCTCTTCAGAAACAGGTCATGGACACGAACTTTTTTTTATCATAGTCATAACTTATCCAGGTCTACAAGATGTGCATAGTCTCGACTCAAAAGCGAATGTGCACTATGGAAATGTTCCCTCGTAAGCACAAATGTATCTATCAGTCCAGAGAATGATTTGAGTTTTTACTTTGACAAGTCCCAAACCAAGGACACATAGATAATGAATTCGATAGTAAAGCTTGGCTAAGCAGGTCAAATGTACACCAAGCTCCCAAACATATACAAAAGGAAGGTTCTCTGAACCGGCAATCAATACATATAACTATGATTTCGAAAAGACCCTGACGAAGATGCTTACACCTCTTCGCTGTGATGAAGCAACAGTGAAAGATTCTTTTTCATTCGTATATGATTTAAAAGGCAAAGGTCAACTATCATCATCAACAAAAATAATCTTCCGCGGCGTGACGATTTTATACACTAGTGTTTCCATCGAGGAAACGATTGACATCATCCTGAAACATCTTTATGAGACGATGGAAAGAGTGGTACTAACAATGACGTGAATAGACTTTCAAAAAATACTCATTTTTATCACAAAAAACACGCACTTCATGTTTAATAGGAAATTATATGATCAAATCGACGGGATTAGCATGGATGCATCACTCACTTCTCTTTTCGCTAAAATTTTTATGCAAGAGTTTGAATGTAAAATTCAGAGTTTCCTCAACGAAAATGATGTCAAACATTGGCGAGTGTGAGTGGGTGTAGGTGTTGACGTGAGGTTTGGACATAGATCCTCCCTTGCCATCCACACATCATACTCCATTCACACCCACATTATTCACATTCGCAATGACACCCTTTTATGCAACAACATCATTTTTATAAAACTTGTGATAGATCTTGAGCACACGCCATAGCAGTGAAGTGGGAAATGGTGTGAATGGTACAAAAAAAAGAAGTATTTTATTGGAGTCATTCACATTTTATCTGTTTCTTAACGTTATTCTTTTCAATGAGAAGAGGTAAGAAAAAAAGAGTAATATAAAAAATATCTGTCACGTTTCTTGTACAAGCATCACCATTTCTGTTTCTTCATGGCAACACGAATATTATTTTAATGATATTGTATGAATAGGACTCTATATTGATATCATATTCAAGTTATCGAATTAAACATTTTATTAATTCTGAAAAATTGCTCATTAGTGTACAAAGATGACTGAACTTACAACTTTTGAAATCTTACAAAATGAACTTATTTGCATGTATGTCAATATCTTAGTTGTGGTGATGTTCTCTCTTGTTTTTACAATCTGAATACTCGCCTTAATATGGCCATAAGCGATCTTTGTCATCACATGAATATGATTGGTGTACAATATAAACAATTTCAATGCATTGCATTGAAGGTTTTACCTGAAATCGAGTCATCTATTCGATTACTTGTTTTCAATGGGTTTTGACAAACTACTATGTCAAAACAAATACGTTCGATACTCTTCAGTTCCGATCTATCGGTAGTATTTACACAACTGCATACATTGATACTTATATATTTTACTGGTGAACACCTATTCACATTCCCTGATACAATCAAAAATCTTTTGCAATTAACCAAACTTGATATTCGTTCTTTTGAAGGTAAACATTCGAAAGAATTATTGAGAAAAGTTCTAGCTACCAATGATGGTCAACAACAATCGATATCATTCGATCAACACTTCATTGATCTGGATCTAACTGAAGCTCAACATGATCAACCTATTTCGTATCTGAATGTTGAAGAATTAACAATCAACTTATTGAAATACAATTGACTAAAACGCCATCTTTGCAGAAGTTAGCACTTCATTTATGTACAGAAGATGCACATCTTGTTAATGAGTACAATCTTATCTCCATTCTACTTGCATCGCTTGTGAATCTAAATCTGTTCATTGTTTATTTCCTTTCGGAATCCTATATTCAGTCAGACAATTGGCTTGTCCCATGGTCTGGACATGTTCCAATAGCATACCTACTGAGTGAGTATCATCAATGTGCTATTATCCATACGATTCCTTGCCATTTGTTTTCTATTTCCATTCCAGCGAAAATGAGTAAACAAATGTTAACTGGTTCGAACTATACGAAGAAAGCTAGACATCTAATAACTTATGGAAAAGCATATTTTACTGATATATCAATGATCGTATAATATTGTTGTCAATTTCATACGCTCAAGATTGATGCAGACTGGGATTCAGGAGCACGTACGTAACTTCTCGCGATAGGAACTATTTAAATAGCAATTTCAATACGAAAAAGAAATGTACGACGAGGTAGCTAAGAATAAGTCGAATTAGTGTTGGCACAGATCTTTCTTTTGAAGTTGCTCATAAGTATATTGTTTTCTATAGATTTTGAAGAATCTAGATTTAGAAAAAACTCGAGTTCCTTTCCTTTCTACTACAACGAATATAATGGTGTGAATATTGGTGAATAGAATACCCAAGCAAAAAAACATATACTCTATCAAAAGTTCAAAATCATCATTGTTGAACGTATTAATAGTTGGTTGTAGTTTGATGGAAATATCATTTAAACTTAAAGCTAAATTCTATTTTTTACAAACTTCATGATACCATCTTCAATAATAAGTGCTTTAAAAACTACTTGAAACTTTATTTTCAATGAAATTTTCAACTTTTAGTCTCGTCGATAGATCACGCCCATTTTTCATTCGAAAAAAACTCTTTGGAGACTTCATCGAACTGTTTTTCTTCCTTTTTTTTGAATTTTTTTTAAATGAATCTCAAATTTCGATTCTTGTTTGTTCAGTCGATTGACATCCATTGCTTTCTTCAACTAGCTACTGCAATACAATTAAATCAACCAATTGTATTACATTTACGTTGACTAAAACAACTTGAAATCGCTGGAAATACCCGTTATTTTGCTCGGCTAATACAGCCCACCATCTCTCTGATTTGATCGTTGATTTTCAAATGTTTTGACGTCTTAGTAACAGACGAATATGCTTGTCAATTATTCGAAAAGCAAATTAGCTATCTGCATATTTATCACATAGTAGATATTGATTCGATTCAACTCGACGTCATCACTCGAAGATTCAGTAGACTTCGTTACTTGGTATTATTGGTACAAGATTCAAAAATATCTATCGATTTTCTTGTAAAAAAAGTATTTGAAAAATAAAGAAACAAAAGACTTTTCGCAC